AAACTAAATGAATTAAAGCAATAAGAAGGGAGTGAATTCCAAAGAACTGATGTTTAAGGAAAAAACTAGACAAATAAGAATTTTCGGAGCACTTAAGAACAGTCACAGTAAAAGAATGAGACTTAATTGAATGACGAGTAACACAAGAATGAATTTATAAAAGATATAGATTGTTGTGTATTTCGACCTATTTTATAGTTATCTATTATTGTGTATATAGATTAGAAATTGCTTACTCTTTTTGCTTATCCCTATAGCATACAGGTTTTCAGAAAAAGAAGAAAAAGAAAGAATAATAAAAGAAAAGATTACCCTATCTCAAACCCTCAGTCGATGTAGCGGCACTTCTTTGCGGCAGCAGGCTATAAGATATGCTATGTATGTTTTGCTAGTCTTATCTAAAATCCCCCAAAAAAAACAGTTTTAAAACAAGAAATGGACAATCAAATTTTGTTATTGAAAACAGTTAAAATCAAAGCCTATCCACTTCGCGAAACTTATGTTAATTGATCGAAATTGCATTCTGGGATGTCCTGCCGGATTTCTTCCGCAACTAACACAAATAGTTGTTTTTTTTAAACAAACTTTGTTGCTAAATATCTCAATTTTGTAACATTAAGATACATCAATTTTGTTAAGACTACCATTAGAATGTTTCAATAAGAATACAATGGGGAAAAAACGTTTTGTAGAACATAATTCAAGTGTAATTTTTTTAGAACATTAAAGTATATTATTATACATAAGTTATTGACATTATACATTAACAAAAGTTATTAATTTTATACATTATAACATAACAAAGTTTCATTACAAAAAGTTAAATTGAAAAAATAATATTATAATATACTAAAGGGCAATACGTGCATTTTTGAAATTGCAATTTGTGTATATTATGATATTTTACTATATACTTTTTGGTTGGATTTTATGAAATAAAAATTTCTTGCAATAACAAAAAACAGAACAATGTTTTTTTACAAATAAGGCACATGTTTTTTATGTTGATTGTGCAAAAACTGAAATTTATATATTTTTTTAATTTTGTTGATGAGAAGCATGGCCAGTCCATTTCTTTCAAGATATTTATCAATAAATTTTGTAAAAGTTGTTTCCATTTCACAAACTAGTGACATAAAAGCTGATGGAATGTCAGCTAAACTAAGAAAGAGTACATCTGCACACCTATGACATAACTTAACCTTTTGAATAAGCCATCCAGCCATGTGTAAAGGGGCTTGATCCTTTGGTTGCATTAAAATTTTTCCAGTAAACATATAAAATGATCCTGGATGAAAATAAGATATTCCTTTAGGTATGTTATTTTCTGTTTCATAAATTCCACAATTAGTTGTTTGATTACAACACTTCATAAAATCATTTAGATTGAAAGCTGTCTTAAAATATGAATATTTTATACAGTTGCTATTGGATTCGTTTTTTTCTTCAGATAAAAGTAATAAAGGATTTCTATAGGCAGCTTGAAATTGTCTAACATTTGGATGGTCATTCCAACCACCTTTGCTTAAAAAAATCTCAATGCAGTCCTGATTAAAACGAGAAGTACAAACAAACTGAAAACCTTCAGAAAATAGCTCTCTACTTAAAGTTAGAACACTATTAATTGTGATGCTTAAACCCCAATGACATGACTTGCTAACACTACAAAATTTCCATTTCTCATTCCAATGCTTTAACTCTTCTTAATGAGAAATACTGGGTCCTTTTAAAGTTAGAGCAGAACAAGCTGGTTTATCTGCATATAATTTATATGAATTCATTATATCAAATAAAGTATCCATGCGTTCAACAAATCTTGCTGTTGGCATTACACTCAAAGGAAGTAAATTTGTATTAGAGCAGCAATACAATGCAGAAGCAACCTGATAACTAAAAACTTGTGTGGCAAGTTTGACCTTCATAGATAAAAAAGGACCAGAGTCTAAGTGTCTATCTGTTAGTTTTGGTGCTAGACGCACAGAGTTTATTTTGCCTAAATTGTAAAGAGACTGGATGAGTTGCCAAAAAAATATTTCACCATTAATGTCAATATTATGTTTTCGTAAATTGTTTCTGATACTTTTTGCTAAATGCAGAGAATCAAAAATAACATGAATATTTTTATCATTGGAAGGATTAGGAAAGTATGGTAATTTTTTGGAAAACCCAAACAAATCTAATGCAGCTATATTAGTAGATCCTTGATCACAAACTACACATCTAATGTGTAAACCAGTTTCTTGATCCTTAGAATTAGTTTTACGGAGTAACGAAGCCAAGTCAGCTGTTGCCACTGTTGAATTATTATGAAAATAAGGCATTGGTTGTTTCTATTTATTTGCCAAGCCTCTAACCATAATCATAAGAGCCTGATTTAAAAGTTTTTCATTTTTCATACTGTAAACCCTGTCAGAATTTCTATCATACTCTAAATGCTGCTTTAATGACATTTCATCCATAACAAGACTGACATTACGATCAAGCAGATTGATTGCATCAACACGTAACTTTAATAAAGAAACAATCAAGTAGAAAAACTTTCTCGAAAATCTGAAAATACACGGGACAAAAATAATTAAAAAGAGGTTTGACTTGGTAAACAGAATATCGTTTGCAAGACATTAAAAGTTGAAGGACTATGAAACAGAATTAAAAAAACTAACTTATATAGGTGATAAGTATTTCCTGGATAAATTTAAAATATGTTTTATAGACCCATTACAGTTTTTTGGGGTTTTTTGTTTGGATTTTAAATGTTGAACTTGTTTACGTAGAAATTTCGACTCACAATGTTAATAGTAACCTTTAAAGGTTGTTGAAATTTATTTTATTAGTAGACATTTTGTTCTCTAAATTACTATCTGAATTAACAGGTAAACAAACAACTTGCTTTTTTGCTGGAACTGAATGACGTTCAACTGGTGGTTTCCTTTTGCAACCAAGAAGTGGAGGAGGATTTGGGATGTTAAAAATAGTAGGAATGGCTGATTGTAACAAATGTTTTCCACCATTATTTGTAGAATAATACATTATATTTTCAAAATGATTACTGCTCTAATAAAAGTTTTTGTTTAAAAATACACATTTTTTTTTGTCCAAATCTTTTCTACGACAGTTAATGATCCATTGTTTGCATCTAAAATTTAAAGAATAAAAGAATATGTTTTAAAATACTACAATGATAATTTTATGAATTTTTTATGAAAAAAAAAGTTATTATAAATAATATATGAATTAACTTGCCTTTTTTCATCCTTAGGAAAACGAAAAAATTAAATATCTTTACAGTTTTTTCCACTCTTATTTCCACTCTTATTTTATAGCAGCACAAAATGATGGCATGGTTGTAACTAAGATCAAAATTCTTTTAGGTACATATAAAAATAACTTTTCGCTACTTAATATTATAAAATTCTGCAGTCCGGCAGAACATCCCAGAGCGCTTTGCGATAAAATTACAACGAGTTATATAAAATTATGCCTGACTGGATAGGCTTTGGTTAAAACCTTTATGGGTTTTTTCAATAATTCAAGTTTGGTATTTTTTTTTTTTGTTAAATGTAATCTAGAAATACCTATAGCTGGCAAAGGTAATGCATTCAAGATTGTATTCTGCAAGATAAAATTGTTTATTTATGAAATATTTGACTAGGTCTTGTATCTGAGTATGCCAACACTGCATTTACTAATGTTGAAGCTAAAGCTTTAGCAATGTAACGACATTGCAATGCAAGGAATTTTTTAACAATTGTAACATTGGTGTTGGTTAACACCATTAGTAATTTGGAAGACGACTATAAACTAATGCTAGCAGTTTATTTGAAAAAGAACTAATAAAATTTCCCGGAAAACTATGACCACCCAATTTCATTAGAGCTTCTTAAAAATTCTCCAAATAATAAAGTAGCTTATTCAAATTCAATTGAGATTAGATAAAGCATTCACAATTTAGAGTTTTTTTCTAAGATTATAAACGTTTTTAAATTGTACTATTGATGATATGGTAATTTAATATCCATTTTGTTTATTGCATAATTAATGAAATTATAATTGTAACAGCGCTCGAAATAGTTTTTCAAAGCTTGTCGATCAAATGTAATTCTTTCACAAAAACATGTTATTTTCCCTTCAATTTTTGAAATTTTCCTAAAAATAGCCGATCATTGATCGTTGATCAGCCGTTATTTCAAGCGCTGTTGTAAATTTTAATCCGAACACAACTTGTTTACTGGTAATAATTATCACAAGATTGTTAATATTCCTATATTGGTAAATAAAGTTTTACAGAGTCGTTTGTGTCTTGAATTTTCTACTTTTTGTTTTGAGTCTTTTACTTCATTTTTTTTTAGATTATCGTTCAACTATAGTATATTTAGTATCAAGCTAGAATTTATTATGTATTATTTATAAGAAAGTAATATATATAAAATGTTAGTCACTTAAAACCATATATTAAAATTAATAAATAGGTTTTCACTTTTTGTTTTTTTATAGAATTTATTTAATTTTTATAAAGATTATTTGGAACATTTTTAATTTTTTAAGGAATGTTTCTATACAAAGTTAATGATCTTCTACTATAGTTTTAACCTTGCAATTATAGATGCAATCCTGTGTTGTGCAATTTTGTATGTTTTATGTTGCTACTATAAAAACCTAAAATAGCAACAAAAAGACATTTTGCGGTCCTATGACAACTCATAGGAATTATGATGGGTAAAAGTAGTTAGGTGTTTGTTCACTTCTCTATTATCTTACCGTCATTCTTCCTGTCCTATTTAAAAAATTTATTTAATTTATTTCTTTAATTTTACTTTTATATATTTTAGGGTTTATTAACTTTTAAAATATAAAATGTTATTTAAATATTTTTAGATAATGGTTTATTTACTCAGATTTTTAAAATTTTTGATACCCTAAAATGTTCTAAAGTATTTTGATACCCTAAAATCAAATATTTTTTATATTTTAAATGTAAATTTGTAATTTGTTTTTTGAAGCAAGAAGAGAATTACTTTGCTACTCAGCTTGGTTCAGCAACACTTGCTTCTTCACTTTCTCCTGATGAAGCACTTCTTGTACTTGGTGAATTAAGAGAAGCAAGGAAGCGGTTTGTTCTTGAAAATGAGCTGCATATAATTTATCAGGTAAAACAGCTTTTACATAAAAAAATAATTTTAGTCTAAGTTCTGAAAAAATTCAAAGTCTGTTCCTGTTCCCCAAAACATCCTTTAGTTTAACTCTCAAAACATTGTTATGTTTTGAGAGTCTATGCTTAAAAGCTCCAAAGCAACTTTAAGTACAAAGCAACCTTAGGTACAAGCCCTAAAAAGTTGTTAGAATACTTTGTTAAAAAAACCAATTTAAAAAAAAAATTAAATGTTTTTTGTTTTTTCAATTTTTGTGTTCCTTTAATATTTATCCTTTGAAAAATATTTTTTTCAGACAACTTTGACTATGTTTACATAATTAGTTTTATGTTTGTTTAAATTATATTTGCACAATTTGTGTTTACGTAAATTAAAATATAGGTAGATGATTATAAAAATCTAATTTTAAGTTTTCTTATGCTTTTTAAGTTTTAGGTTTTTCTTTAATCATTAGTTTCATGCATTACTGGTTTACCAGATTATAATTAAAGATTTAAGCTTTTGCACTCTGACTGTATTATTGACAATACTGTCAGAATTTTTGATGAATATCTTAAAATTATTATGTCGGTCCTAATGAGTTTGCTTATAAATAAACGTTCTTTAAACTAAATTTTTTTTTTCAAAGTTATCCTTGAGGTTTTTAATTTAATTTTTTTTTTTTTTTTTTTGAAAATGCAGTGTACCCCACTATATATAATTTTTTTTCCAGGTCACACCAATATATTTACAAGACCAATGGCCAGAATTAGATTGGCAAATTTATTACAATATATGGGAAAAGTTACCAGCAGAATTTAAAGCTGTTGGAGAGTTAGTTGGGGTTCAAGAAAGATTTTTAGCAAGGGCTTTTCGAAATGGCGTTCAACAAAAAAATGAGAACCAGATGCGTGTTCTTCGAATTCATAAAAGATTCTATGCTGCTCTAATACTGCAAGACCTTGTAAATGAAGTTCCACTTTCACATGTTAGCAATCGTTACAAAATTAACCGAGGTTTGCTCCAGTCTCTGCAAAATTCGGCTTCAACATTTGCTGGGATGGTAACTGTTTTCTGTCAAAAGTTAGGCTGGTCCTGTTTAGAGTTGTTACTTGAGCAATTTCAAAGTAGACTGTCGTTTGGTGTGAGCAGAGAACTTTGTAACTTGGTGCGTATTCCACTTTTAAGTGGTTTTATGGCGCGAACTTTTTATGAGAAAGGATACCAAACTGTTAGTACTTTAGTTAGTGCATCTGTAGAAGATATTGCACGGATATTGCGAGATGCTATACCTTTTGAAAGTAAGAAAAGTTTAAACAAGTTAAGCTCTCAATCTAAAAGGAGAAGAAATGCAAGAAATATCTGTTTGGTAGGTCAAGAAGGTCTTACAGATCAGCATGCCGCCTGTTTGATTATTGCAGAAGCCAAGCGAATACTTGCTGCCGATGCTGCCTTGTTAGGGATTCCTATTGATAAAATACTAGATATTCAAAGTTCTTTTACAAAAAATGGAAAAAGGTCACCATGCTCAAATAGCTCTCCAAAAATTACACCAAAAAGTTCAATAAAGCGTTCCAATAAAAAAAGAAACCATTCCTTTGAAGAATCTTTTGAAAAACGTAGTAAAAGAGTATTTTGTATAGAACGTGCAGAAGTAACTGAAAATGTTGAACATGTTAAAGAATGTGTTCAAATTACAAGCAATCAAGAAGTAAGACCCACCGAAATATTTAAACAGTGTCAACTAAACACAATGGTAAAAAATGCAGATCATACTCTGACTTCAATTTCATCACCAAATCTTATTATTCAATTTGAAGAAAAAAACAGTCTATTAGATTATTCTCCATGTTTAATAAACACCCCAAAAGAAGAAGTTACAAATCTAGTAGGTGAAAAATTGTTAGACAAACCTCTTATTGGTTCATCTGAAAACCTTTTGATATCAGACGAAAATGTTACTTGCAGTCCAATTGATTTTTCTTTGAGAATATCAAGCTCGGATAACACAATTGAAAATGTTATGTTAGTTCCTCCTTTACAATTGATTGACAAATTCGAAGAAGCATTAGTTTCTAGTTCTAGTACACCGTTGTGCATTGAAAGTAAAAACTCAAGAAATAAAAATTGTGACGAAGAATTTGCAATGGATTCATTATGTGGCTTGACATTTAATGAGGCGATTTCTGTTGATTTTCAAAAAAACAGAACCTTAGTGGAATCACAAGGAAAAGATTTTCTTATTATAGATGTTGGCTCTGACAAAGTCCTCTTTCAAACTTTTCTTAAGGAATGGAAACAACAAACAAGATTTAGTCTCTGTCTGGCTTGTGAAAATGTTACTGAGGATTCATGCAAAGGAATCAGAAAAGAGAAAAAAATTAAATACACACAATTGGAGCCAAAGTATCCAAGCTGTTCTAATGTTAATCCAGAAAAAATAATAACTGGAGTCGCTGTTTGCTGGGGATCAAAAGATGCTTTTTTTTTAAACTTAGGTTCAAGCGAATATACTGGTAACAATTTTCATTACGCAAAAGACCGAATTTCAGCGTTTAAACATCTTTTAAAAAGTAAAACTCAATGTCAGTTAATAGCATTTGATATAAAAGAACAATTGAAACTTTTGTATCAGCTGGTTGGATCATTGCTAAACCCAATTAATCTTTTAGATCCAAAAGTAGCACATTGGATGTTGTGCCCGAATGAACGTGAAAAAAATCTCTATGCACTTGCAAATCAGTTTTTAAATAAAGAGTTTATTGGATTTATTGAAGGTAATGATATTATTTCATTTTTATGTTTTTATATTTGGTATAATGTTAAATGTTTTTTTTTTCTTACCGTTTTTTACCATTGTTTATATTTATTTATATTTAAATGAGTATCAACAATGTTATGGGTTATAACATTCCTTATTAATGGTCACTGTGTTATTGGTGCAGTGACAGAGCATCTATGCAAAAAAATCTTTACATAGAATATGACCACATTCCTGTTAGTAACTCAAATTGTTTTTGTGTTAAATAAACTTTTCTGTTAGGAAAAATTAAATTTTAAAAATTAAAAGATGTTAAAAAAAAGCTCTGTTATTCTTCTAAACTATTTCGTAAATTCTGTGATAAGTACCGTCGCGTACCTTACTCTATTATCTCTAGTAGTGTGACCATGGTTTATTTTTTGTATAATTACTAATCAAACGTTTTCTAAATTATTTATAGATGACTTTTCATAATTTATTTGATTTTTATTTATAAATATATTATATAGTTATTAAATCAGGTTTGAAATATAAACAGTAAGTTTTTTAATTAAACCCTGCGCACATCAACATCTCCTAAAGAATAACCAGTTATTTTTGCTTAAGAAAACTTTTGTATATAAAAAATAAAAATTGAAGAGCGTTTTCTAAAAGGCGCTATATCACATTTTATTATTTTGAGGAAGTAAAAAAACTTGTCATGCGTCAAAATATTTTTTGATTATCAATAATTTTGTAAATGTAAATAAAGATACTAACATAGTTTCATACTTAATTCATAGTTACATACTTCTTAGTTACATACTAACATAGTAACAACTACCTTTTTCAATCAAGAATTCGAATGTTGAAAAAACTCAATATTGAAAAAATTTGACAATCGACATAACAATAGTCAATCATCAATGACTTTGGGGGCATCCATAAAGTACGTACGCAGTATAACCACTGATTTAGGAGCCCCCCCTCCCCTTGTACGAACCTGTACGCTTTTAAAGACCCCCTCCTTCTTCGCGTACGTACGCATTATTTTTTTTTAAAACTAACTCAATTTTTTTTTTATAATTTATGAAGAAATTAAAAATTTTTTTTTGACTGAAGTCAGGAAAAAAGCTGAATTCTGATTTGTTACAAACGTAAAGTATAATGTTTAAAAAAATAAAAAAATCAAGTTTAAGAGAGGTAGTCACACCGCGAACGTACTCACTGTCTTTAACACCTCCTCCTCCTCCCCCCCCTCTTGTACGCGTTTGTACGCTTTTGGGAAACCCCTCCCCCTCCCCCAATTCCTGCGTGCGTACTTTATGGATGGCCCCTTTTGCTTTAGAGCTAACTTTAAACCTCATTTAAATATACTATAATTTTTAGCAAAATCTCTTATAACTGGGCATTTGTTTGGATTTTCTTTAAGTTTTTATAGTATTCACTTTGTGTATTTGCAATATATTAATGTGTGGCAAGGTTATCAATGCTGAAGCATAAGAAATCATTAAATTCATCTAGTGGCAATGAACAGTAGTGTTGTACAGTCAGTAATCAACCATTTTTTAAATACTACATCTTTTTCAAGGTTATGATCTACAAAATCTTGCACTAAACATATTTTTAATGCTTAAATACCAGAGCATTGGTCACATCAATGCACCATACATTTTTCATATATTTTTTCTAATTGCATAATCTATAGTTAAAATAGCTTCTTTTTTTTTGTTTATATGTTTTTTTAAATATAAATTTACAGGGACAGGATATTTTCGAGGTACAGGTGGGTTGGGACAAGGTATTGATTTACGTACGTGTGCATGTATTGAAGCAGTCACAGTTTACCATCTTATGGAGGAAATGGAACTTCGATTAAAGCGTGAAGATTTGATAAAATCTTTTGTTGATGTATTATTATTTTTTTGTTTATTTATATATATATATATATATATATATATATATATATATATATATATATATATATATATATATATATATATATATATATATACAGTGGCGTAGGAAGGTCGCAAAAGTTGGGAGAAGGGCGGCCGAAAACATATATTAAAAAGGAAAAAGTTTGTCAATTTTGTATGATACAGCAAATAGATGAAAATGATCTATTTATTCAATTATTTTTCACACGCAACGTGATTATCTTTTTAACGTGATTAGTCATCTTTTGCCAGCACACATTCATTTAAAAAATAGTATGCGATAGTATCTTAAACAGTTTTATGGATATACTTTTCCATGGTGATGTTTAATTGTGATTGAGTCATTGCAGATTGGAAAGTAATAATTATGCTGTTGCTATCATAAACATTTTTTTAAATTGTTTAGGAAATGGGGGGCTAAATACAGTGTCCGCTGCCCGCCCTAGTGTTTTAGTTGGAAAGGAAGGGGGCTATTGCCGCCCCCTTCTTTCCCCGTGTTCCTACGCCAGTGTATATATAAATCCACACACGCACACACACTTTTTGATCATTTCCATATATTTTGTTTATATTATAGTATAGATTTCTTTTTTCTAATAAAACAGATAGAAATGCCAACTATTCGCACCTTGCTCGTGATTGAAATTAATGGTATAGGTTTCTCAGATATTGAATGTGAAAAGTTAAAAGAAATTTTAAAGGGGAAACTTGATTCTATACAACAAGAATGTTATAAACTTTCTGGATCGGTCTTTTCTTTGTCATCACCAGCTGATGTTGCTAGAGTTTTGTTTACTGAGCTAAATCTACCACCCGGTGGCGAATATAATCTAAATCATCAAAGACAAATGAGAAGCAAAGTTACTGGAAAAAAATTAAAATCAATTTGCACTTCTAAAGAAGTTCTTGAAAAGTTGAGCAAGTTTCATGCTTTGCCTAAATTAATTTTGGAATGGCGCAAAATAAACAGTACTCTTACTAAATTTGTGTATCCAGTGCAAAGAAGGAAGCGCTCTTCAGATGTTTTACAAATGCATAGAATATTCACTGAAGCTATATATAGAACTTGTACCGGTAGAGTCACGTTTTCTGAGCCTAACCTTCAAAATGTACCGAAAGAGTTTGATATAAAGCTTTCTAGCTTAGTCGTGAAAAGCCCTCCGCATCAAATTACAGGTAATAAAAAACACAAAAGACAACTTGTATCTTCAACTCGACCCTTATTAAGTCAGCAGAAAGACAAACATATTGGTTCTTCTACTACTGAAATGTTTACTGTCAGTATGCGCAGTACGTTTGTTCCTTTTTCTTCTGGTGTTATGGTAGCCGCTGACTATGAGCAATTAGAGTTAAGAATAATCGCTCATATGTCGCAGGATCAAATACTTATAAAAACTTTAAATGAATCGGGAGACGTGTTTAAAAGTATAGCAGCCGAAATAAACCATATAAATGTAGTCGATGTTACCACAGTACAAAGACAGCATGCCAAGCAAATTTGTTATGGGATAATATACGGTATCGGAATAAAAGCACTAAGTCATCAACTTGGTGTTGAAGAAAACGATGCTTCTGAATATATGGAAAAGTTTAAAAATCGTTTTAAAGGCGTTAAGCGTTTTATACAAAACACAATTGAAGAAGCCAGAGCAAATGGGTTTGTTAAAACCTTGGGAGGAAGAAAGCGATACTTACCAGCAATCAATTCAAAGATTACCAATGACAAATCGCATGCGGAAAGACAAGCAGTAAATACAACAATCCAAGGTTCTGCTGCTGACCTAGTAAAAATAGCTATGAATAACATTGATATAAAGTTAAATGAAATTTTTGGTAACAGCTGCTTTAATAAGCTGGCTGAAAAATCCCAGCCCAAAGGTGCATATCTTGTTTTACAAATCCACGACGAACTCTTGTATGAAGTGAACAAAGAAAATGTTGATATCGTAATAAAATTAATTCGTCGTGAAATGGAATCAGCAATTATTTTAAGTGTTAAAATGCCAGTGAAGGTAAAAATTGGTTCAAGTTGGGGAACTTTAAAAGATATCTAATTATAAATAGCTAAATTTTCTAAATTAAAATAATTAAATTTTTTTTTTTTGAATGTTTAAACATTCTGTGAATGTAAAATGAAGTTTTACTATGTAAAGCGATTTGTTTACTGTTAAAATGTGAAAAAAAAAGTGTAATTTAAAAAAAGTGTAATTCTCTATTTTTGATGACGGTGACATTTTGGTGAGGTTTCTTTTTTTTCGACTTTTTTAGTAAGGTTACTATCTAACTTTTTTTTAAATTTTCTTCTGCTGTAAGACTTTTTTCAAAAATCTTAGAGCAAAAGAGCAGTTATATAAAGCAAAAGAGCGGTTTTATAGAGCAGAAGACCAGTTATAGAGCAAAAGAACAGTTATATAGAGCAAAGGAGCAGTTATATAAGCTTGGTTTCCAATAGTTGTAGAAATGTCTTACAACAGTTGTACAACATACCTTTGATTTGTTGTGCGGTAAATTGTTGTGCAACGTTGTGTTTCCATTATACTGAATTGCCGCTAAATTTTTTATATAATAACAAAAAAAAATGGCCGCCACTAGAAATTATGCGACTCTAAACTATCGACTTTTTGTTATACTTTTAATTTTAAAACGCCGAAAAAGGATAAAAAAAAGAAAACATCAGTTTTGGGTGAGAGAACTATTTTTAAAAAACATGTTCAGCAAGGTGCATTTAGTTCTTTGGTAAAAGAAATGAAGCTATTTGATAGAGAATTTTTTTTATCGATATTTAAGAATGTCTCCTGACAGACTTGAACATCTTTTGTCATTAATTGGATCTTCATTAACGAAAAAGTATTGTCCCAGTAGAGATTCTATATGTCCGTCGCAAATATTAATTACAACAATTCGATACCTTGCTACAGGAGAATCACAACTCGAAAATAAAATGAACTCAGTCATTTTATTTTCGAGTTGACAGAGCTACAGTTTGCCATATAATCGAAGAAACTTGTTGTGCAATATGGAAAGTTCTCAAGAAAGTCTTTCTACGAGCCCCAAATGACGTAAAAGAATGGCAAAATATTATTAAAAAGTTTGATCAAAATTGGAACTTTTCACAATGTATAGTAGCTATTGATGGAAAGCATGTACGCATTGAAGCACCTGCAAAATCTGGATCTTCTTTTTATAACTACAAAGGGTTTTACAGCATTGTTTTATTAGCAATTTGTGATGCTAAATATTGTTTCACAATGGTTGACATTGGGGCTTATGGAAGGGATAATGATGCTGCCATTTTAAATGCGAGCATTTGGGAGGGCATTTAATAAGGGTTATTTTAATATACTAAAAATTTCTGAATTTGATCCTAAAGTTTCACCGGTCCTTGTTGGAGATGACATATTTGCACTTAAACCATGGTTAATGAAACCGTACCCAGATAAAAATCTTACTGTTCAGCAAAGAGTTTTTAATTATTGCTTATCTAGAGCACGTAGAACAATCGAAAATAGTTTTGGAATTTTAGCAGCTAGATGTAAAATATACAGATCTTCAATTAAAGCAAAGCCATTGAAAGTAGAACATATAATAAAGGCTACTGTTTGTCTTCACAACTATTTGCGTTTAACAGATGGAGTGCATTATATTCCTACTGGTTTTGTTGATAGTGAAAGTCATTCAGGAATTGTTATTCAAGGAGATTAGAGAAAAGAATTACAAGATCAAAGGTGTTTGCTTGATTTCTCAAAATCAACAAGATCTGTTTTTGATGCAATTGCAATAAGAAATACTTATAAAGATTATTTTAATTCATGTGAAGGAAGCCTTTCGTGGCAAATGGACTATGTTCAATCGTGTGGCCACAATCCAGTTAATAACTAAAATGTATGTAATAAACAAAACTTCCTAATAAAAGAAAATATGTTATATTTAACAAACCAATAATTTACATTTTTTTTTTTTTTTTTTTATAGTTTAAAGATAAACTTCAACAGTTACCTAATAATTAATAAAAGATAAACATTTTATACCTCCATGATTTTCTAAAATAAGTTATAGTTTATCACATCAATAGACTTAACAAAATAGTAAACTAAATTTAGTCTATTCCATTGATTAATCAAAAGTAACTTCACATCTAATTTTACTTAAAATGTTATGTTTCTTGCATCAATAGGTTAAAAAGAATAGTAAGCCAGAATGTGTCTTTTTAAACAAATTATCAACAGTTACTTCATAGTTTATTTACTTCTAAAGTACAGTTTTTCCACATTGACCAGTTAAGTAGAGTAATAGGCTAGATAGTTTCACCTCTGTCTGGAAACTTTAATTTAAGAAGTAATGTTTGTATTTGAACTTTAGCCAAGGCTTTAGAATAGTTGTTTAATCGCTTAAGTTGCGGAACTAATGATTTCATAAATAAATAATCTTCATCCTGCTCTTCAAGAGTCGGATTTTCAATATTGGAGTTAATTTTTTCTAATGTTTTCACTAAGGTTCTATCAAGTAAATCATCAGAATCCAACTTTTTTTTTTTTTTTTTTTGTTATTAGCTTAATTGTTGACTCACTTGACTCTCCTTACACACAAGTATTTATATAGCTGTTTTCTGTGGTCACATCTAAATATATGATCATTATTAAATGGATGATGAGTATTTTCAACTTGCTCATATACCATGTCAATGTTTTCTTCCAAATTCGATGTTTCTAATCTGGAGTCAGAAGGTAAACAAATACTGGTTGTTGTTTCGCGATGTTCTATAAAAGTATTTAGCCAATCGAGCTGAAGAAACTGAGGTAGAACTGAGTTCCTTCCAGAACCTAATGAAATTTTTTTTTTTGATTTCAGTCACCTTCCATAACTACTTCGAATGCTTTTATATTTCTCTTCCGCTTGATTAGGAGATAAGTTTGAAAGACGACCAACTTCTTCCCATGCATTTTTCTTTTTCCATTTATCTTTAAAATCTTTATTAAACTTGTCATACAATACTGGAAATTTTTAAACTTCATTCATAAAAGCTGCTTTTAACGGAGTTGTCGTCATGTTTTGTAAAAAATGAGGATTGAACCTGTGGAGTTCCACAAGGTTCAATCCTCGGACCTCTCTTTTTTTTAATTTATATAAACGATTTAAATAAAGCAACTAATCTGATGAGCATCATGTTCGCTGATGATACTAATTTATTCATCTCTAAGAGAGATATTAGCGAACTTTTTGCCACAGTGAATAAAGAACTTAAACTTTTATCCCACTGGTTCAAATCCAACAAATTAACTTTAAATACTGACAAAACTAAATGGACTCTTTTTCATTCGAATAGGAAAAAAAAAATTTTACCCTTAAACTTGCCTCCAATCTTTATTGATGAAATTGAAATAAAAAGAGACTCCGTTATTAAATTCTTAGGTGTTTATCTCGATGAGAACATTAATTGGAATCAACATGTTAACTATATATGCACTAAATTCTCTAAAAACATTGGAGTCTTGTACAAAGCTCGAACTTATCTCAATAAGAAACACTTAAGACAACTTTATTTCTCATTTATTCACTGCTACATAAACTACGCTAATATTGCCTGGGAAAGTACTGAAAAAAGTAAATTACTTCGTCTTTATCACTGTCAGAAACGAGCAATTCGCATAATTAACTTAGCTGATCGTTTTTCTCATTGTAAACCTTATTTTATTGAGATGAAAATTTTAAATATATTTGAACTCAACGTTTTAAAAATTTTATGCTTTGTTTATATGTGGAAAAACAATCTATCCCCCCCAGTCTTTAAAGATTTTTTTAATTTAAAACCCAGCAACAAATACACTCTTAAAAGAAACAAATTTTTTTAACGAGCCTTTTTGTCAAACAAGTTTTAATCAATTTTGTCTTGCCTATCGTGCACCGCACCTATGGAATAAACTTGTTTTACCTAATGTTGATTTTGTTCGACCAAATTCTTTTCGTCTTTTTAAAAACAAAATTAAAAATCTAATTTTTTCCCTCGATAACATTTTAGAGTACTATTAATTAATTTATCTATTATTTAACTTTTTTATTCTTTTTCCCTAAAGTTTTGTTGTTAACAACTATTTATATTTAAAGATTTGCTAATGTAAAAGTTCTATATATATATTTTACTTTACTGTAACGTATACTTTACAAGCTATTCGTAAATTATATTGTTTATAAATGTTTTTTTTAAGGTTTTTTAAGGTAATTCGTAAATTATATTGTTTATAAATGTTTTTTTAAGCAAAATAGTAGTTATATAGAGCAAAAGAACAGTTATATAGAACAAAGGAGCAATAATATAGAACAAAGGAGCAGTTATATAGAGCAAAAGAGCAGTTATATAAAGCAAAAAAGTAGTTATATTAGAACAAAAGAGTATAGGAACTGTTTTAATTTTATAAACTCATATAGTTACCATTTACTATTTGATTTAACAATTTTTATTTTAATACTGATAATTATGAAGACGACCTTGATCAAATCTTTAATACAATTACTGATGGCGCTAATATTGTTTTTTTTTAAGGAGCTTTTTAAGAATAAAAACCAACTTTGAAATCAAATTCTTGGTCAACAACTGAAATTAGTTCCATCAAAGTTATTCTTTCGTTTTTGTTTTGAAAAACAAAACGAAATAACTCTAATGTTATATAAATAATAAAATCCGGAATCTTTTCAAAAATTGAAAAGATTCCGGATTTAAACAATTTAACTTTTAATCGTTAATTAATGGCTTTAAAAAAAACTCTGAAAAAAAACTATGAAAAAGTAATTTTGGAGCATTGTCATGTTTCAAAATTACTTTTTCATGCCTATTCTTCGATTCCGGTTGATTTTCAATTAATGAATGGTTCAAATTGATGATTGTTGTCGATAGCGTTCAGAATGAACCGTTTGACCAGGTTCCAGTAGCTCATAGTACACAATTCCCTTGTGATCTCACCAAACACACAGCATTCTCTTCTTTCTGAATCGATTTGTTTTTGCAGTCAATGTTGATGGTTGTCCTGGTGAAACCCATGATCTTTTGCGTTTTGGATTTTCGTAAAATATCCATTTTTTATCTCCAGTAATGATTCGATGCAAAAAAAACCTTTCTTTCTTACTTTTTTTTACTTGCATTTCGCAAATTGTTTTTTTTCTTTCTTGCTGTCTTTTGTTCAATTCATGTGAAACCCATTTTCCCAGCTTTTGGATCTT